ACCTGTCAGCCCCACGGCTAATACGTGGTTACACCCGGAAATGTGGAATTTGGGAGCAGTGGTATCTGGCATGGGGTCTGGGTGGCGCAGTGGTTAAGAGCTCGGCTGCTAACCAAAAGGTCGGCAGTTCGAATCTACCAGCTGCTCCTTGGAAACCCTATGGGGCCGTGCTGCTCTATCCTATATGGTCACTATGAGTCCGAATCTACTCGACAACAATGGGTTTTGTATCTGGCATTTCCTGAGGCCGTCCCTCAGGAAATACCCCAGCATTCTCTCCACTCTGATTCCAGGAACAGGGTGGGTGGGAGGAGTCTCATTTGAGTGTGTAGGTAGGGCCTGACCTTGCTTTTCCTGCAGCCTGACCGAGTAGGCAGTGAGTTGAAAGCGATGGTGCAGGCCCCACCCGGCTACGTCCTCGTGGGTGCTGATGTGGACTCACAGGAGCTGTGGATTGCAGCTGTGCTTGGAGACGCTCACTTTGCTGGCATGCACGGTAAGCAGGAGCCTGGTTGGGCAAGGGTGGAGGCAGCCCGACATCTTGGGGTCCAGGTGGGTGGGCAGAATGTGTGGGAGCCTCCCTTCTCAGTCCTGCCTTGTTCCCCAGGCTGCACGGCCTTCGGGTGGATGACACTGCAGGGCAGGAAGAGCAGGGGCACCGATCTACACAGTAAGACAGCCGCCACGGTGGGCATCAGCCGCGAGCACGCCAAGGTCTTCAACTATGGCCGCATCTATGGGGCTGGGCAGCCCTTTGCTGAGCGCCTGCTAATGCAGTTCAACCACCGGCTCACACAGCAGGAGGCTGCCGAGAAGGCCCAGCAGATGTATGCTGTCACCAAGGGCCTCCGCAGGTGAGGGCCCCTCCCCATCCACGTTACCCTTTATGGCCTCACGCCTGCTTTACCATTGCTTCACTGTCCCTGTCTCTTCTACCTCTTGCTCATCACCTGAGCCCTCACCTGGCCCCTCTCCTTCAGACCTCTGTGACCTAGCTCCGGGATGGTTTGTCCTTGGCGTTGTGACATTTGTTTCCAAGCCAGCCCTAAACTCGTAGGGTTAAAGCTGTACTTTTGGTATGTTGTCACCAACAGATAGCGGGTCAACCGCTCTGGTCATGCAGTAGTGCAGGGAGTGCAAACTCAAGAACACGTATAGGTAGTGAGAGCGAGTGAAGCAGGCAGGTGTAAGACAGTAGTTAACAGGAAGGCTTATGCAAAGCTGCAGCATTTAAGCTGATTTTGATCTAGGAGAAATCTTTCCAGGCTTCCAGTTTACTAGCCTAGCTGCAAAGTATGTGTTTGCTCTGACAGGGAGAGGCCGTGGTAGTAATACAGCCTGTGTGCCCAGGGCCTCAGCAGCCTCCTCGGAGGGTCAATGTGTGAGGGAGGAGGTACATTTATAGCTTCCTCAGGTGTAAGATTGAGTCCACATTTAATTAGCTGACTGTTTCATTGTGGAAATTTACCTCATGAAAGAATAAAAGCTAAATAAGTGATAAACGGTGTAGCGGTGACTGCATAAACGTGGAAGAGGGGAGCCCGCATATTGTCCAGACTAGATGGGAGGTGCCTCAGTGTCGAATGAGGTGGGGTTGGATGTGGCTCTCACCGTGGGCTGGAGGCCACAAGGCCAGTGATGAGAAGTCAGGTTGAGCCTTACTTGTGAAGACTTTGAAGGCCTCACAGAGGAGTTTGGACGGTGGCACAGGAAGGAGGTGGGGAAACCTTGGTGCACTTGGAGCAGGTGAGTGACCTGCGTCTGGAGCCTGGTGATGGTCCATAGATTAGACTGAAGCCGAGAGTCTTGGGAGAGGGATGGGAGAGGATAGGTATGCCAGGCCTGGTTGTACGTACTCCCATTTTCTGCTTCTCCACGTGCCCTGTTCCCTTTAAGGAGCAGTCTGTCCTTTATTGCTGCCATGCTGGAGTCTGGGTTTTGGGGTCACAAAGGCCTGGGTGCCTCTCTGGGCCCCACCTCTTCCTAGCTATGTGACCCCAGCAAGTCACTTCAGCCTCTCTATGCCTTTGCTTCCTCCTCTGAAGTAGAGCCTGTGGGGAACAGGCAAAGTCCCCAGGGTGGCTGCAGAATTGGAATGAAGTAGTGTGTGAGCATTCCCAGCCCAGGGCTTGGCATAGAGGATGCTCTCCCATGGGAATGATGGTGGTGACACTGCCTCTAGGTATCGGCTGTCGGATGAGGGCGAGTGGCTGGTGAGGGGGTTGGACCTCCCCGTGGACAGGACTGAGGATGGCTGGGTTTCCCTGAAGGATCTACGCAAGATCCAGAGAGAAGCTTCAAGGAAGTGAGAACCTTCTGTGTGTTAAGGATGGAGGGAGGGGTCTGGGCTGGCCCAGAAGAGCTGGGATGCCTTTTTTTTTTTTTTTTAAAGCTGAGACGCTAAAAGACAAAAGCTTGCCCTCTTTTTGTTCCTGGTCCTCCAGGTCACGCTGGAAGAAGTGGGAGGTGGTTGCTGAACGAGCATGGATTGGGGGTACAGAGTCAGAAATGTTCAATAAGCTGGAGAGCATTGCCATGTCTGACACGCCGCGTACCCCGGTGCTGGGCTGCCGCATCAGCCGAGCCCTGGAGCCCTCGGCTATCCAGGGGGAGGTATCTTGGCCACTCTTGGAGCATGGGGAGAGGGCCCCAGGGGGGGCAGGGCTTCTTCCCAGCCTTACTGATGTGTGCAGATGAGGCCAGCGTGGAGCTTTTCCTGGGGCTTCTGTACCACCACCTCCTCCCCACACAGAGCTGACTGGGGTGTGGCAGAGCCCCTCTCACCTGTGCCCACCTCCCTCCCCCAGTTTATGACTAGCCGTGTGAACTGGGTGGTGCAGAGCTCTGCTGTGGACTACTTACACCTCATGCTTGTGGCCATGAAGTGGCTGTTTGAGGAGTTTGGCATCGACGGGCGCTTCTGCATCAGCATCCATGATGAGGTTCGCTACCTGGTGCGGGAGGAGGACCGCTACCGCGCTGCCCTGGCCCTGCAGATCACCAACCTCCTGACCAGGTATGTGGGGCTGGGGCCTCTCTGGCTGGCCGCATAGCTCATGCGCGAGGCTTTGGTTGAGAGACCCTTGGACCCACCTGAGCAGCCCTTATCTGTGAATTTTCATCTCCCCAGAAATAAACGTTGCAGCTTTTATCTCTAATTTAAAAACGAAACAGTTGTAAGATCCTAGAAAGACTGGTCTCAACTTTTTAAAGAGATTTCTTGGGTTTGAAAATGACACATACCATTGAGGTGATGACAGGGTCAGGGGGGTTGTTCCAAAGAGTAGTTTGCAAACTGTGCTCCCAAAGGAACACAGCTTTCTGATTTGAAAACAAATGACAGGAAACTTTCCTCGATTCATTGAAAATTGAGGTATTTTTCTTCCATAAATGTCTTAAGTGCCAAAAGTTTGTTATTCTGACAGAAAATCTTGTGAATGGGAAAACTGAAATGTGACTTAAAAATGTTTTATATATAGGGAGTTGAATTTTTTCATAGTAAACTTTCTAGTTCATACAGTTGAATTAAATGATACTACAGTTCCATGTTGATCTGCCATTCAGAACTGGTTTGGGAACCGTTATCTATCCTGGTTAATAGGTGAATAACAGCTGTTTACAGCACTCAGCACTGTCTTCATTGTTCTCTTAATCATCTCCTGGGAGTTAGGCTTAACAAAGCTAACAAAAAGGCCTCATATCTCCCTCAGACATTGGCCCAATAATTGAAAGAAAATTTTTTACATCAATAAAGTGAACCAAACTGGGGGGGAAAAGCGTGTTGGGTCCAGAATTGCATTTCAGTATCTCAGTAGGAGGCATTAGGCTTCTCCATGCTGGGCCCTTGGCTTTCTTGGCTTAGCCAAATGCACAGAGGGTTGGGCTCAGGGAGGCTCTGCTCTGAGGGGTACCTGGTCGTTTCTCCTGGGTGACCCTGTGCCCCCAGCAGGGACGGGCCTGTGAGAGGAGACCGGCTCTCTTTCAGGTGCATGTTCGCCCACAAGCTGGGTCTGAGTGACCTGCCTCAGTCGGTCGCCTTTTTCAGTGCAGTCGATATTGACCGGTGCCTCAGGAAGGAAGTGACCATGGACTGTAAAACCCCTTCCAACCCAACTGGGATGGAAGGGAGATACGGGATTCCCCAGGGTGAGCACACTGCATTTATTCTTCATTATGCATAGGATGTATGGTCGACTAGAACATGATCTTGGCCAACAGGAAGCTTGGTCGCTAGAGAAATCATTCCTGACGTGTGCTGTATTCTAAGCTGTTTCAGTTCAGAAGGTGCCTTGGGTCCAGAAGGAACTCGATGTTCAAGTTACAAAGGGATGTTTGTTTCTAGGAAGCTGTTCATAGTAAATGAAGAAACCAGAGCTTCAGATATTCCATCTGTAACTGTCCCCTTGCCAACCACACCGAAGTTGTTTAAAGAGTATTGTGTAACATCAAAGTGCATTCTTAGATGAAAAGAAACTGTTTTGAATGCCAAACAAGTAAAGAAGGTGGCTTACTTTTATTTTATACAAAAGAAAACAGACCCTTCTCAACAGTCAGCCCTCCTACCCTCCTTTTTTTGACCTTAACATTAAGCTCCTTTTTCACTTCTGAGCTCTGTGCTACTTCCTCAGGAGGCATCCTAACCAATCTGCACTATTTTTCAGGTGAAGCGCTGGATATTTACCAGATAATTGAACTCACCAAAGGCTCCTTGGAAAAACGAAGCCAGCCTGGACCATAGCTCTGCCTGGAGGCTCTGTTTTTGCTCCCGTGGAGCTTCATCGGGGCGGTGCAGGCTCCCAAACTCAGGCTTTCAGCTGTGCTTTTTGCAAAAGGGCTTGCCTAAGGCCAGCCATTTTCAGTAGCAAGACCTGCCAAGAACGATTAACTGACGGTGCAGTTGAGTTCAATGGGTTCGGAACCAAAATGCCAACACTGGTGCAGGCTGTAAGACGAGGGGGCACTGTTGCTTGTTGGGCAAAAAGAAAGCAGAAGCCCCAAAGTTCACATTAACTCAGGCATTTCGTTTCTTTTTTCCTTTTCTTTTTGGCTGGTTCTTCGTTCTGTCCCCCGTGCTCTGATGCAGTGCCCTGGAAGGGGAGAGAAGTGATGCTGTAACGTGAGAAGCCTGCTCTGAGGCAGTAGAAATAATAAAAAAACAAAAAACCCTTCATCTTCGCATCAAAGCCTGTGTTAGTCATGCTTTACCCCTTCCCCACTCATGGGAGGAAACTGCTGAAGAAGGGAAAGGCCTCCAAAGTAGAGTAGGGCAGTGCTAACTCCATTCCTTTGGACTTACTTACACCTACAGACATTCAGGGGCCACAAGATGACAGAGATGGAGCCGAGCAAGAGCCTCAGGTGTCAGAATGTTACACAGCCCTCCTGAGCTCATGTGCCCAGTAGATTACGTAGAGGGAGTTGATGGGGCCAGGTGCACTGTGGCTTGGAGCATAATAATCTGAAGAATGCAGATTCAAATGTTTTGAAAAGCCAGAAATCTACGGTTTTATGTAAACTTCTAATTTTGAAATAAGCATGGGCCATGAGTTTTGCTACTTCTATCTAGACAAACCTAAAATGAATATTCTAGGTGTCAGAGGTAAGGAAACATTGGGCTCCGATCCAAAGATGCTGCAGGGATGGGGCATGATATTGTAGCTGGTAGAACTAAGGGAGAGGAACAAAACCAGAGGGCAAAGGAGCTTAAGAAACTCCATTTGGCATGAACTGAAGGATGCTTTATATAAACTTAGCAAAGAGTGGCCCTACTTTGAAGACAAAGTAGACTGGTTTCTGAGTCAAATGCTGTGGCTATTCATACTCCAATGATTCAGAAGGTCACAGGAAGAAGACCCACAGCAAGACCTTGTTCTGTCACTGTCCATTCCTGGAAATGTCCATCGGAAATGCACGTAAGTCTGGGCTACTTGGTGAGACGCAGGCTCAAAAGTGTACAGCCCTTAAGAGTTCCTTAGTTCTGTTTTGGCCTGGCCTCCTCTGATGCCCTTTCCCTGTCTGTCGGTTCTTGCTCCTTCACTAATGTGGGGCTGCTCCCAGATAGCCTGAACCACTGGCAAGGAAGGGGTGGCTAGGGCTTGCTGCTCTCCAGGCAGAAGCAGGCACTGACCTCTTCGTTTTCCTCCTCCTCTTGAAGAACCATGTCCAGGATGTTTCCTCTGATCTTGAAGTCCCGTGAGGTGCTGAGCTTCATGTGCTGCATCAGGTTCACCTGTGACAGGATTGTAAGCATGGGAACACTTTCCTACTGATGGCTCTCCCTTGTCCTGCCTGGGTCTGTGCAAAGCATACTCTGTACCTCTGACAAACCCTTCAGTTCTACCTACAGTAAGCACACACCCACTTGACCTGTTTTTCCCTCAGTTTCTCACAGGATATTTGGATTCAGGCCATTAAATCACAAATAGAAAAGGTTCAGAGTTAGATTCCCCCCGCCCCCAGTGCAGCTGTGCTGCTTCAGTTTGTCAGGTTCTCTCGACAGGGTATATAGAAACAGTAGAAAACAAGTGTGTTTACCTTGGATCTCTTAGAAAGATGGATGAGAAATTTTTCATACTGTTCAATGGCAAAGATGAGGTTAGGGATTGGCTTGGTTTCCCGAAGGACTTTGGCCTACGTAGGGCAAGAGAGGAGAATTAATACCTAAATATCAGGGCTCAAGGGCCTTTTGAAGACTGTAGATCTCCAAGTTGTCACTAGCAGAATAACTAATTGTTACTGCTCATGTGTTTTGGGGAAAACTAGTCTATCTCCCAAGCAAATGCAATTTTATTTCTATACCATAATTTAAGGAGCCCTGGTGGCGCAACAGTTAAGCACTCTGCTAACCAAAAGGTAGGCGGTTTGAACCCCTCCAGCAGCTACATGGGAGAAAGACCTGGTGATCTGGCCCTGTAATGATTACAGGCTAAGAAACCCTGTGGGGCACTTCTACTCTGTCACATAAGGTTGCTATGAGTTGGGATTGATTTGACAGCACCTAACGACAATCTAAGATTTATGGCAGTTCAGTCTCTTCAAAGGGCCTAAATTCCAATAAAGGTTTCACTGAATCTTCCATCTTCAATTCCTAAGTATTTGTTGTTATTTAGAGACTCAATGAGGGCACGACCATTAGCAGAAATTTGGCTGCCTCTTTGACTTGATATTCTTAAAACAAGCCCACTCTAGCAGCTAACTCCATTTCTGTTTTCTAGTCTGCACATGAATTTATACTGCTGAGATTATCTGTCTTTTCCCCTAATTTAAATTTGTAACTTGTACATCCTTCCAAACATTTCTTGTGCATATATATGTGTGTTTATATCTTTTTTAAAAACCCACAAATGGGGACATTGCACACATTGTTCTAATTCTTTCCCACATTATCATAACCACACATTTAGGTTTGTATTATTTTTTTTATGCCTCCATAGTATTCTATAGTATGTATGTACTACATTTAAGCCAGTCCTCTATTAATGGTATTTTAGTTGTTTCTAATATTTCACCTTTACAACTATTGCTGGGACTATCCTTGGTACACAGGTCTTTAAACACAATTTCTGTATCCTAAAAGTGCAATTGTTACATCAAAGAGTATCCTAAAATTCAGCAGCTGTTGACATCGTGCCCCTCCCTGAGAAGTTGTACTAATTTTCACCTTCGCTAAGCATGTACTAGAGTGCCAGTTCACCTGCGCCCTCACCAACTCTTACGGATCCTTTAGAGAACAGCTTTTGAACTCACTAACTTGTTCGGAAAACAGTTCCTTCCTTATTGGTATCCTAAGCTAATTACAAAGAAAGAGCCAGGGTTTTCTGGTGCTTCTTTTATAAAACGTTTTTAGTTCACAGAAAATTAAGATGTTCCATCTGAACGTAAAAATCTGAGTTGAGAAGCAGCCCTATACACACACCCCTCCCCTGTATTATTACACAAATAACGTGCCTTTTGCGCCCTCCCTCCATGAGGCACCCTCAAAATCACTGCCATGCCAATCCCCTTCCACATGTTGCTGTAAAAAAAAAATTAGTGTGCTCACAAAAATACCTTGTGGAGGGAGGGTGCAGCTGGCAAACAAATGCACTTATATAGTATTTGTATAAAAATACGGTACATATGTATGTATATACATGGTTGGTAACAGTTTTATTAAGATATAATGCACATACCATACAATTCACTCGTTTACAACGTATAATGGTTTTTAGAGTTCTGCAACTATTACTACAATCAATTTTAGAACATTTTCATCACCCTAAAAAGGAATCCCATACCCTTCTGTAGGCACCCCCGTAACCCCATTCCCACCAGCTCTAGGCAACCACTAATCTACTTTTTGTGTCTAGATTTGCCTATTGTGGGCATCTCATATAAGTAGAATTATACAATATGCAGCCTTTTGGGACTGGCTCCTTTCACTTAGCCTAATGTTTTCAAGGCTCACCAGCCGCCGTATTTCAATGGTCACTGTCAGCAGCTTACCATGGCTGTGGCAACAGCAGCAGTTTTCTCCTTTTTCTTCTCTCCTGCAGATTTCAGGCTGTTACTCTTCTTGTTCTAAAGAAATGGAAACAAGTTTATTCCTAAAGATTTTCCTACAGAGCTAACAGGCTAGTGGGTATTTCCCTAAAAGGTAGCAACAACAGAGTATGGGAACTCCAAAGGGTGCAAGTTTGGATGAACAGGATTATCTGTGCAGCAGGTGCTGGCAGGTGGAAAAAATTCTGTGATGCTTTATAATCCTCAGATATTTTTCTACTTCTTTATTTTGTTGAGAGGTTTACAATTTGTACTCTAGCGCATGGAGGCTGCAGATAGGATCAACCAAATTATTGTACCTGGCCAGCCAAGGGACAAGTGAGATAGAAAAGGATGGTTAAAATGGGGATCATCAAGGTGGTAGCAGGAAAAGGCATATCCAAACTGGGAAGCTGGCTGATAGGGGTCCGTAAGGAAGACGAAGCTGAGGAGGCTGTTTCAGGGGCCAACAGAGGCATTCACCAGCTATATCTAACATGCAGTTTGGTTAGCATGTTCAAGAAGGGTTTAAAAGGGGCATAGAAACACTTCCTGATATTGTAGATTATTGGAGAATAAAGAGCTCCTGGAGAGAAAGAACTAATAAAGGGAACCAAGATGAGAAACAAAACCTGAGTCAGGAGAGACTGAGAACCTCCCAAGCTTGAAGTACACAAGAAGTAGGAAGCTTTTACCTGAAGTAGGGAGTTTCTACTTTCTAGGAATGGAACACACATGCTCCATGGGAATAAAAAATGGAGATTGGAGAATGGAAAGAAACTATACCACCAGAGCCACGTGAAAGGCAGGCTGTTTCCGTGTGGCAGGTTCTGGAAAATAAGGAATAGTAGGGATTCCAGAGGGGCTGGTATGAAGAAACATATTTTTGGCCCCAGAAGGCAGGATAAGGGTGGTAGAAGGTGACACCTTGTTATGGGAGGGGCAGGGAAGGAGCTATAAATAGAGCTCACATGAACAAGTGGGAAATGAGCCATTTATGTATCTTTAAATCAATATATCCTGAAATTTACCTGTCTATTGCCCATTCCTGCTGATACAGGTAGGACTAAAACGATAGTTTTAGCCAGATGGGAAGTATCTTTTAAAGCTATGCCTTTTGGGGCAGAATGCTAAGGGTTTTGGAGCAATGGCAGTGTTTCCATTGAGATATAAGGCTGTGGAAAACCAGAAGGAGCTATAGAAGAGTAAGGAGCTCTCTGAAGGATGTGGGCAAATGCAATCCTGATTTCCAGGTAAGAGTTGGAGCTAATGGAACCATGGACTCTTGCCCAGGGTCGCTTATTAATTACATCTCACAAAGAGAAAAATCTGTTTGCCTGTGGGCCAGTGGACTTGTCAGTAGGTTATTAAGTCAAATATGGATGAAGAAGGGGACAAATTATGAGGGAATACATGAAACTGGATTCTGTGAAGAGTAGGCATAATATGGAATAAGGAATAGTAGTCTAGGAGGTGCCTGGTAATTCACAGAAGAAGATGCTTGGGAATGGGGTCAGAAACAGAAATCCAAAACCCTCTTTTAACATTTTACATTACAATATCAAGTGTAATTATAGAGCAGGGGTTGGCAAACTACAGCCCATAGGCCACATCCAGCCCACTGTTATTGAAAATAAAGTTTTACTGCAATACTACCATAGATTATTTGTATACTGTCTGTGGCTGCTTTTGCACTACAATGCCAGAGTGGAGTAGTTGTGAGAGAGACTACATGGCCCACAAAGCCTCAAACATTTACTGGTGGTGGTGTGTCCTGTCGAGTAAATTCCAAGTCATAGGGACTGCATGAGACTGAGCAGAACTGTCCCATAGGGTTTTCTTGGCTGTAATCTTCATGGAAGCAGATAGCCAGGTCTTTCTGCCACAGAGCTGCTGGGTGAGTTGGAACCACCAACCTCTTGGTTAGCGGCCGAGCACTTAACTGTTGCGCCAGCAGAACTCCTTAGAAACAATTATCTAGGTTCAAATCTCACCTCTTCCTCCTATAGCTGTCTGTTCTTGGACATTTCAATTCACATCTCTAATCTTTTCTCATCATTTATATGGGTATAACTGCTATCAAAAAGTGTTAAGTGAGGACGAATGAGGTGATGCATGAAAAGCACTTAGCACAGCACCTGGCACAAGGTAAGGGGCTCTAAATGTGGGTGCTTCTAATAAAGTAAACAGACAAAGTGGCTTTAAGATAAGAAGGGTAGTAAATACGGTCTCAGAGCAGTGTTTCCCCAGCTGTATTCTATGGAACAATATTCTGCCAGCGAATAACAGTTGTTATTAAAAAAACAAAAGTTCTTGAATAGGTTTGAAAACTACTGTTGAACATATTAATTATGGTTGGACTTATATGCATATTTAATATGCTAATGGACATCATGAATCTCTAAGACAAGGAATATGGTATGACTGTTTCTCACAGAATCCCTTTTTTGAGGTCTATCTCAGTCAATAAAGGATACTTTGTGAAATGTGGCCTTACAGGCATTAAGACTTGGAGATACGGAACTCAAAACCCAAATTTAGGAATAGAGGGATATATCCTATATATAGACAACAGATTTGTATGACAGAATGGAACCCACATAGAAATTCACCCACATGGAAATTCATTAGCATGAGGGTTGAGAAAGCTTGCCTGCAAGCATTTGGGTGAGATAAAAGGAGAGGACCAGAAATAATAGCTTGATGGGAACAGGCTATAGACTGCCTGGCCAGACAAAGAAAACGGATGGTATGCTTCTAGCCCAGATCACAAAACTGGTACAACGGCAACGGAGAACCTCAACTATCAGCATGCAACTGAGAACCTCCAGCTAACACCAGCTGACAGGCCACCTGGTCACTGATTCTCAAGGGGAGGGAAGAAGTACCTAATGCACATAATGAAGCAAGTCACCAACAGGAGGATGTTGTACCTATAGGTGGTGGAGCATCACTACCAAAGTGGTCTCAACCCATGCTTTAATAATTGGTTCTAGAATCTTGACCAAGATTGACACTTAGTGGACCCATCCTCTCTGATTCTTCAAAGATCAAATAACAGCTCTGCAAAACTCTTCATTGCAGTAACTAAGTGGCCTTGGGAAATGTAGGTTTCCCGTCACTTCTGTGTTTAAGCCAGTGGTTCTCAAATATGGGTGATGTTGCCTCTTGGGGACATTTGGCAATGTCTGGAGACATCTTTGGTTGTCACAGTTGGGGGGCTGCTATTGGCATCTGGGAAGTAGAGTCCAGGGATGATGCTAAAAAATCCTACAATGCACAGGACAAGCCCCAAAACAAAACTACCTGGCCCCAAATGCCTATAGTGCTGAGGCTAAGAAACCCTGGTTTAAACAAATAGTAAAGAGGACTAAGTATGTCAAGAATCTGATGGTATCTGTGACCAAAAGACATTTCAAATTTCTTCAAACCCTGGAAGAGCCTATTACTGTATTAATTTAGAGGGAGAAGAAAAGGACTCTGGGCAAAAGACAGAAAAAGCCCATATTCTCTCTAACTCGCCTGAAGTGTGTTACTGCTCTTACACAATACTTTGCCATCTGATCTCAGCCCTTCTTCATGTGCCTGCTGCTACTCCACTCACACTCCCAAAGGATGCCCGATGGCATGCATCTGGAATCACCCAGAAACATACCAAGTCTTTGAGCCCAAGCATGCTGTTCTTTTCCTACTCTAAACGCAAGCACAAGTGCGTTTTCTCTCCACATGAAATGGCTTTCTTTGTATGGACAAAGATTTTCTTGCTGGAAAGGCTTCAGGCCTTGGCTTGGTCTCTGATCGGCACCTCTGGCTTAGGTAAGTAGGGAAGAAACTTGATACACACTCAGCTCAGAAGACTAAATGGTCCCCTGGGAATGTAGGAAGTCCTTTCTTACTTGAAGATCTATTTTGAGACTGACTCTGGATCACTTACCTGCACGTAAGAAATGAAAGAATAACACAGGGGGGTCAGATGGGAACCAGACAGCTTCACCTGCAGCAAAGGAGGAAGCCAATGTAACTGCAGGAATAAAATCCTTCCCCCATTCCTAGGAAAGGCACTCTCAACTCACCAGCTTTTCCATATTTTTTGGAATTCCTCTGGAGCTCCGACACACCTGGAGATACTAATAGACAGAAGATTTTTAGATTTAGCATACCACCCTACATAAATGTCCTATGAAACTACAGTCAACTCTTGCAGTGAGCTTACGGAGTATGCCTCATCACTGACTGCAGAGGGAAAAGAAAAGCTACTATATTCATGGAGAATCCAAGACACAAGGCTGCCTTTTCCCCCTCCTCCAATATTCCTGAGCTCTCCAGACAACAAGGCAATGAAGGGTTTGTTTCTGACTTGCTCAGCTCATTGCTTTAAAAATCCTTCAAGCTGATAGTCCCTGCATCTAGAAAACCAATGACTTTGCTGTTTTTCCTTTTAAAAATGCCAATAAAGAGAAGAGGTGGTCTGTATTTGTACTACAGAAGCTTAGTGGCCACATCATGTAGCTGGAGTTGCACATTCTCAGACAGCGCCACAATGCTGTTTGGGTACATTGTGGGGTGGTCTGTGTCTTTCTTGGGTTGTCTGTCCCTTTCTAAGTATTTAATATAGTTCATCGCTAGAATCAGAACTAAGCTACCTGGTTCCCATCACTCTCTGAATATCTGTTAAGGACCAAAATACTACAAGCACAAGGAAAGAGTTTTCTTGTTAAGAGATATACTAAGAAGCATTTATTTAAGCTTGATAAGGTAGAACTTAAACTCAATAAGGCAAAGAGTATGGCTTGTAATTTTTTCTTTTTTTTCTTTTTAATAATCTTCCTCTCCACCCTAGTGCCTGATCTGGCATTTAACACCTACTTGGTAAAGAAATGGAGTCCCTGGGTGGTGCAAAAGTTAACATGCTAGGCTGCAAATGGAAAGGTTGGAGGTTCATGTCCACCCAGAGGCTCCTTCGAAGAAAGACTTGGTGATCTACTTCTGAAAAATCAGTCGTTGAAAACCCTGTGGAGCACAGTTCTACTCACACACGTAGGGTTGCCATGAGTCAGAACTGACCTGATGGCAACTGGTTTTGTTAAAGGAATGAAAGAAGAAATAAACATATCTTTATTCTCAGTGTCCAGAGTAGCTGGAACTGGTCTAATTTTTTTCTGTAATACAGAATCAGATTTTATTCTATAGCTGTAGAGTAGATTAAGCCTTAGAGTTTGAAAGATGTATTCATTCTTAATCAGATGCTCCTATGCCAAGGAAGTAAGGGCCTCTAAAAGCAGGTTTAGAGTTTTGCCATCAACTGTTAGTCTCTGGCCTGTGGAGAAGCCTGCCACTTACTGACCAAACTAGAATCAAACCATGACTTGCAAAGATGTAGGCAAGAGCTCCGTTCAGACGCACTGCGGCTCAGTGGGCTGCTGTCCTGGCCTCGTCCCCTGGCTGGCTGGGATGGAATGGTGGTGGGGAACTTGATTATCTCAGATACTCACATATTTGACAAGTGCTGTAAGAATGGTGTACATTTTGCACAGGTCCTTTAGCAAAGTGTCTACACAGCTGCCTGATGGCAGGGCTGTCTGTACCAGCTCATGGAAGAATGTAAGCAGAGTTCCCAGCTGAATGATGATGGCTTTCTCAATGGGATGATTTGGTGGGACTGCCTGAGAAGAGGCCTCTTCTGAAGGGAGACAAAATTGACACATGCAAACCCGAGGGGCCTTATTTTCTAGTTAAGAGTGAAGGACATCTAAAATGAATTAAATATCATTAACTAGGAAATCTGTAGGGAAAACGAGTATGTAATTCATCATGCAGAGTGACTGCTGCCCTAAGCCACACAACCCTCCATTTCTTCCATCACATCAGAAATCTAGCTCAGGGGCCCACTTCAAGCAGCAGTGTAATGTGGACTGGACTCATCTCATTTCTTGGAACCCCAACTCATCTTACCTGATATGATTTCTTGGCTCACTTGTCCCTTAAGCTTGGTGATTAGCCAGTCTACTTCTTCTAGGACCTTCTCAGCCTGACTCAGAACAAGCAACTATGAAAGAAAAGAATGCCTGGCTTGGCTCACTGCACACACCTGCAAGGGTAATACAGTAACCATGGCCACTATAATTTACTCTTCACATGGAGTTGGATGGAAGGAATGACAAGGCTGTTTCCTATGGCTTGGGGATCAACACTTACACAGACAGTGGGAGCAGCTGTTCTCAAATTCACCATTGCAAAGTGGTTTGTTTTTTCCACCTCTATGTCCTGAGGAGGGAAAGAGAGGTGAGACCTAATGGTAGTAAGGCTTTTCCCCTGAGCTCTATCCCCATGAGGTATGTTGTACTGAAGGCTTACTGCAGTACCTGGTCTATGTCTCCGAGCTGCCCATGGATATCCTGGGACAAGTCACGCAGCAGGGAGACAGGACTCTTATACAAAACATGAAGGCTGAAGAGCAAGTTCATCAAGCCCTTACAAAATGAGGCATCCTCTAGGAGTGGGAAGGAAAGAAAGTTACCAGGTAAGTTATAACCCAGTCAGGTCCTTTGGTGGGGATGTGGAGGGGGTGCTAACCAGAACACACAGCTTGTCGCGTTCTGGGCACAACATTCTAGTGTTGCACAAACTCCAGCCAAGGTTAACTCCCACAATGGTGCACTTTTATCCCAACCCAAAGAAAGCAGATGTTTCTCATTATTAGTCAGTCACTACCATCCAAATCAAAATATAAAACATTACCAGCACCCTAGAAAGCCCCCTCCTGCCTCACCTGCGCCACCAAGGGAAACTGCTATCCTGACTTCTAACATCACAGACTAGTTCTGTCTGATTGTGAACTATCTGAATGGAATCATACAGTGAGGCCTCTGTGTCTGGCTTGTTTTGTTCAACATTATGAGATTTCTCTATGTGTAGGTGTAATTTGTTTATTCCCATTGCTGTATTCTATCATGTGAATATATCACAACTTATTTATCCATTCTATTGTTGAACATTTGGGGTTTCCCACCCAGTTTTTTGGCTATGAAAGTAGTGCTGCTATGAGAATTCTTCCATATATTTCTGTTGGCAGTACAATTGCTGGGTCATAGGCATATGTTTAGTTTTAGTAGTCAGATACTGCCAAACAGTTTTCCAGAGTGGTTATACCAGCAGTGCATGACAGTTCCAACTGCTCTACATTTCTGCCAAGACTTGGTACTCGTATCTTTTTCATTTTGGTCATTCTGGTGAATGTGTAATGGGGATTATCTTTTTGTTTCTAAATGTTATTTGGTGATGATGATTTTAAATAGGGTCTAAAAGGAAACATGGTAGGAACCTTACCCAGGCTGTTTTCCTTGCAAATCTTAGATGTCCAGGATAACATCTGCAAAAACTAAAGTGAAGGTCATTCAGATATTAAAGAAACATGCCAAAAGACAGAGCTAGGTGCTGTCAGAATAGAAGAGCCCTAGATCATTCCAAGTCTAAGCAAATCACCTGCCAAAACATGTTCCTGGAGCTAAAGTGGTGATCGACTATGAATAGCATCAAAATAAGTCCAGAATCATGAGAATTACTGGCACTCTTCTCATAGCATATGATTTAATTATCAGCCTCTATGTCTCATTAAGGGCCAAAGGTCCTGAGGTCTGGGTCCTTATCACCTAAGCTTCCTTTGCCTCTATCACCATGGCCTATGGCTAAAGCTCTGTGTTCTCCTTCCTCTGCCCCCACACTCTCCACACATGAGGTTATGAGGCTAAAGGAGAGGTATGAGAGAGTAAGATCCTGGCCATAAAGACAAGAGAATTTGCTTTTGTGAACCAAGAGGCCAAACGAGAGAAAAAGAGAGAAATGAAAGAGGCAAAAACTAGACAGAATTTTTAGACAAAGTCAAGTTTCTGCTTCAGCAGCTCTTTGGAATAGGCTTTCAGCTATAAAGGTACTGAAATGCAGTTATACTTAGGTGCAAAATGACTAACGAAAGATCAATTGTTTTTTAACTGTTGTAGTTTAAATGAAGTTTACATTTCAAGTTATTCTCCCCTACAAACATTTATACATACATTGTTATATGACCCTAATTGCTGTCCCCATACTGTGACAGCACACTCCTCCTTTCCACCCGATTCCCCATGTCCATTCAACCAGCTTCTAACCCTCTCTCCTTCCCATCTCACCTCCGGGCAGAAGCTGCCCGTTTAGTCTCTTTATCTACTTGAGCTAAGAGGCACACTCCTAGCAAGTATCACTTTACGTCTCAGAGTCCAGTCCAATCCCTGTCTGAAGAGTTGGCCTCGGAAATTGTTTTATTTCTGGGCTGACAGAGAATCCAGGGACCATGCTTTCTGGGGTTCCTCCAGTCTCAGACCATTAGTCTGGTCTTCTTACTAGAATTTGAGTTCTGCACCCCACCTTTCTCCTGCTCCATCCAGGACTCTCTGTTGTGTTCCCTGTCAGGGCGGTCATTGGTGGTAGCCAGGCACCATCTGGTTCTTCTGGTCTCAGGCTGATGAAGTCTCTGATTTATGTGGCCCTTTCTGTCTCTTGGGCTACTACTTTCCTTGTGTCTTTGGTGTTCTTCATTCTCCTTTACTCCAGGTGACTGGGACCAATTGATGCATCTTAGATGGCTGCTTGCAAGCTTTTAAGACCCCAGACGCCACTCACCAAAGTAGGATGCAGAACATTTTCTTAATAAGCTTTGTTATGCCAGTTGACCTAGATGTCCCCTGAAAGCATGGTCCCCAGACTCCCACCCCTGCTACTCTGTCCCTCAAAGTGTTTGATTGTATTCAGGAAGAGATGAATTTTTGATCTGTTGGGAAAAAAGGTCAATTAAGAGGCTAACTGAAAGCTCTCTATAAAGTGATAATAAAAGATCTCCAGGATAAATGAAATAAGCAGGCTGCAGAATAAGCTTTTATGTGAAGAGTAGGGTTAGGAATAAGAATCTATATTCACATTTGCTGGTACAGAAATAAAGAAATTCTTGAAAGATACATAAGAAACTAAAAAAAGTGTTTACTTATTTGGGGAGAAGGATCTGAGGAGACATAGGACGTGAATAGGAGGGAGACCATTTACTGTAAATCTTTTCATAATTTCTGGTTTTCAAATCATATGACTTTATTACTCATTCAAAATTAAATTTAAAAAGTTTTTTAAAAAGACTATCTGAAATTATTGTGGGGAGGGAGGGCTTCAAAGTAAATTAAAATTTTTCCAGTATTAGTCTTTCCAAACCCATTTATTTTCCTCCAAACGTCCCCCTGCCCCAATTCTCTTGTGTTGTTCCTGTGTTTCTTTCCCTTATAGCGAAAGTAGCAGTATGAAAGAATGAAGCTGAAAGCTAAGTAGAGAAGCGTTGTTTGGAGCTAGGATGAAGTGAGTAACAAAAGAGATTTTCTTTGAGCAACCTGGAACTAGGACAATAGGAAAATCAAGTCTGCCTTCCAGCACTTCAACACCAGAACACTCCCTGGCTACAGTCTCCCAAATACTAGCTCTTCCAAAAACAAGGGCGCACACGAGCAGCCTCGTCTTCCCCACAGATCAGGAAGCAGATGCGGTGGCAGCACACAGTCCCAGGCTCCTAGGGATGCTCTTGATCATTCTAGAGGAAAATGACTCCTGAATGGAACAGATCCACAAAATGTGGCCCTTCTCTTATTCGTCCGTGTGTGTAAATGCTTATGCGGGTGCCCAACTCTACATGTGTGCACACACCTACAAGTATACATGTATCACCTATCTCAGCAGGGCTGTTTCTGCTCTGGAACTGTAGTTACACTTAGCAACTTTGTCATTCTTTGCTTAATAACCCCACCCCCCACCCCTCCATCTCAGTACCAGGTAACCTTGCTGAGGGAGCCAACTGCTGAATATGTCAGCTGCCTTCTTCATCGTTAACATTCCATACTTTCCCATTAGAAAAGGAGGGAAGCACTCAAAGTGGGGAAGAACATAGATTAACAAGGCTGAAGGCAGCAAAGATAAACTTAAGATTTTTTTCTGTGGTGTTTACTATTTACCCTTGATGGTGGCCAAACAGAAGCAGTACGTTTTTGTCCTATAATGGATGCACAGAAATATGACAAGGTAGAAACACTATGTAGGAAAGAATACATCTTACGGGTCTTATATTAACTCAGGAAGATAATTAAATATATTATTTTAAATAAGCTACACTTCAAGAAGACATTTAGATATATACTTTTAAGATGTGATAATCCACAGAAAGGGCCCCATAAACCAGAGACTTCATCAGCCTGAGACCAGAAGAACTAGATGGTGCCCGGCTACCACCAATGACCACCCTGACAGGGAACACAACAGAGTCCCTGATGGAGCAGGAGAAAGGTGGGGTGCAGCACTCAAATTCTAGTAAGAAGACCAGACTTAATGGTCTGTCTAGACTGGAGGGACCCCAGAAAGCATGGTCCCCGGATTCTCTATCAGCCCAGAAGTAAAACAATTCCTGAGGCCAACTCTTCAGACAGGGATTGGACTGGACAGTGAGACATAAAGTGATACTCGTGAGGAGTGTGCCTCTTAGCTCAGGTAGATACAAGAGACTAAACGGGCAGCTTCTGTCTGGAGGTGAGATGGGAAGGCAAACAGGGTTAGAAGTTGGTTGAATGAACATGGGGAATCGGGTGGAAAGGAGAAGTGCGCTGTTGCAGTATGGGGAGAGCAATTAGGGTCACATAACAATGTATGTGTAAATTTTTGTATGGGAGACTAACTTGAAATGTAAACTTCATTTAAACTAACAATAAAATAAATAAATAAATAAATAGATAAAAAAGATGTAATAACCCTTGCCTTCTGAGGGATGCTAAATGTGGTTGAATGAGTGGTACCAGTACCTGCGGGGAGGAGGGCTCCAGTAGCTTGGACAAGCTGGAGAGAACACTAACTAGAAGGAGGGCTTCTTTGCTGTTGAAGTCTTCCTCTTGGTTGCTAAGTAAATTCAACAAGGACCTCTGAAAAAGGAAAGTGTACACAGAAGCATTAGCAGGAAGAAGAGATTCCTAAGGCAGGGACAGAAAGAATTCAAAGCGCCAAAATTATAAGAGGATAAAATCTGAAAATGCATCTGGACTGAACAGTCATTTCTTAACCTATTTTAGACCAGAAACCTCTCTGAGAACTCTCTTAAAAGAACTATGGGCTCTTGTTCCTACAACTTCGACAAATGCACATTAGGAATGAACCGTGCACCCAGTTTTTGGTGGTTCCCGACTCTCGGGAGCCCTCCTGCCTGCTGCCCTCAGGTTCAGACCACCCCCAACACCCCAGCATTCCCTACACATCTTCCCTGATTTACTCTTCTCACCCCTGAAATACTATACATTTTATTTGTTAACAGTTTCTCCCCTCTACAATGTAAGCTCCGCGAGGCTGGGAATTTTTGTCTCCTTTGTTCTCTGCTCATCTTCAGTACCTACAACAGTCCCTGGCACATAGTAGGAACTTTAAAATTATTTGCTAAATAAACAAATTCTCTATGATAGAGGCTGCTCTTGCTTTACAACTATTGGTTAGATGACAGGCTTCACTGTTTGGTCTTTTAAGCAATCTAACAGACAAAACCAAATTATACTATGGACTCAAAAACAAACTCCTGGCTCTTTCCTTATGTCAGCTTTTTACGTCAATCAGTGATCTTGGAGGCAATGAGTTCTTCAGGTTGAGGTGGCTTAACACAAATCCTTTGAATCCTTCTAAATGCATGATTTTCTATTCTAAGAGCTGTCCTGTTGCTTGGGTGATGACCCAGAAAAAAGATTCCTGCCCTACTTGCTCACCATCTGCCCAGTCTCACTAACTGCCCCTGTAGACAGTTGTGTTGCATGGAGCCTCAGGCAAGAACAGCAGCTTCTGGAGGTGTCTCACCTGAAACTGCCGGATCTGGAATGTTGCTCTTTGTGTGACACTAACTTCTGCCTCTTCTCCCTCATTATCTGTGACATCTAGGAAAGGAAAAGAATGCAGTATTTTTTTTTATGGATTCATGTTTTTTTGGCCTCTTAATAGCTAAAATTTTAGAAAACCAAAATGTCTGGAGGCAGATTTAAATGAATTTGTAAAATTCTGCAATTTCTTAATACTATATTCCATTTTCCTGCCACTATTTGTGGTTAAATGTAATCCAGTAAGGGCTGATTCTGAATCCACTAGATGTCACTCCTTTGCAACATTAGGACTGTTCTCAGGTGTCCCCTGGTAAGTTAACACACAGAACAAAAAGGTTTGGTAAAGAAGGAGAGAAACCCAGATGAAGCCAATTTATCGATACTCAAATACCTACCCAGAGCCCTGAGAAACTGCCAAATCTTGGGCTGATAGAACTGCTGCACGGCATCGAAGATCTTCTGCAAACCCTCCAAGCACAGCAGTGAGATGCTCTTTCCTTTCTCTTTTTTCCCTGACTCTTCCACTGAAGTAGGAATTGAAGTGTATCTCCATAGTAAGACCCTGAAGATAAGTGATTTTATTTTTAAAGTCAGGTTCATTGAGGTACAATTTTTTAAACTGCCCATTCTCCCCTCCCCCCAGCCCCTGGTAACTACTAATTTATTTTTGTTTGTATGCATTTGCCTATTCTAGATACCTCATATAAATGGAATCATACGTTTGTCCTTTTGTGTCTGGCTTATTTCACGTAGCATGTTTTCAAGGGTCATTTATGTCATAGCATGTACCAGACCTTTATTTTGCTTTATGGCTGAATAATATTCCATTGTACACATACACTATTTTGTTTATCCATTCATCTGTTGATGGGACACTTGGGCTGTTTCCATCTTTTGGCTATTGTAAATAATGCTGCTATGAACACTGGTGTATAAGCATCTGTTTCAGTCCCTGCTTTCAAGTATTTTATGGTAATTCCATGTTTCACCTTTTGAGGAACCACCAAACTGTTTTCCACAGCAGCAGTACCATTTTACATTCCCACTAGCAACAGACGAGTGTTCCAATTTCTTCACATCCTCACTAATACTTGTTATTTTCTGATCATAGCTGTCCTAGTGGGTATGAAGTAGTATCTCACTGTGGTTTTGATCTGCATTTCCCTAATGAGTAATGATGTTGAGCATCTTTTCATGTGCTTACTGGCCATTTGTATATAATCTTTGGAGAAATGTCTATTCAAGTCCTTCGATCATTTTTTAAGTGGGCAGTCTTTTTATTGTTGACTTGTAGGAGTTCTTTGTATATTCTGGATATGAAGCTGTTTTCTGATATATGATTTCCAAATATTTTCTCCCATTCTGGAGGTTGTTTTTTCACTTTCTTGATAATGCCCCTTGATGCACAAGTCTTTTTAATATTGATGAACTCCAATTTACCTATTTTTAATTTGACTGCTCATACTTCTGTGTCATATCTAAGACTCTATTACTGAAAATAAGGTCCTAAATCTTTACCCCTATGATTTCTTCTAAGAGTTTTATAGTTTTAGCTTTTATATGTTTGTTTTCTTAATAAGTTTTGATAGTTCTTTATATACTTGGGTTGCCAGTCTTTTATCAGACATGTGTTTTGCAAAAAAAAAAAAAAATTTTTCTCCTCATTTGTGGCTTGTCTTTTCATTTTCCTAAGGGTGTTTTTCAAAGAGCAGAGTTTTAAATATTTTCTTTTATGGATTGTGATTTTGGTGTTATATCTAAAAATATCTTTGTCTAACACAAGATCATAAAAATTTTTCTTATATTCTTCTCTAGAAGTTTTATAGTTTAGGTTTCCCATTTCCATCTATAATCCATTTCAGGTTTTTTTTTGGTATATTGTGCAAGGAATGCTGACAGAGGTTCTTTTTATTGCATATGAAGGTCCAATGGTTCTAAAACCGTTTATTGAAAAGACTTTCCTTTATCCATTGAATTACCTTGGCACCATTTTAAAAAAAAAAAAAACCATATTTGTGTGGGTCTATTTCTGAACTATCTATTCTGTTCCACTGATTTTGCCAATACCACACTGTCTTAAATACAGCAGCAATATAGGAAGGCTTGAAATCAGGAAGTGTGAGCCCTCTTTGTTCTTTTACTTCAAACTTGTTTTAGCTATTCTAGGTCCTTTGCTTTTTCCACATGAATTTTAGACTCAGCTTGTTGATTTCTACAAAAACACCTATTAGAATTTTGATTTGGATTGTGTTGAATCTATGGAATCAATGTGGGAAGAATTCACATCTTGACAATACGGAGTCTTTCAATCAATGAACACTGTGTATCTTTCCATTTATTTGAGTCTCCTTTGATTTCTCTTCATTAATGTTCTGTAGTTTTCATCATATAAATGTTGTACCTGTATGTGAGATTTATCCATAAATAGTTCGTTTTCTGGTGCTATTGTAAATTAAGCTGTTTTTAAATTTCTAACTATTCACTGCTAGTATGTAAATAAAAATACAACTGATTTTTAAAAAATATTAACATTGTATCTTGCAACCTTGCTAAAGTTACTTAATAGATCTAGTAGCATTTTTTTTTCATAGTCATACTGCCTGTGAATAAATACAGTTTTATTCTGTTACGGGTGATGGAAAAATTTGGAAACGGATATGGTGCTGGTTGAACGTGAGAAACATAATTTAATGTCACAGAAGTGCACATGTGAAGACTGTTGAAATGGCATGTTTTGTTACATACACAAAAAAAGAGTTTTCTTTCTTTCCAATATGAATGTCTTTTCTTTTTCCTCCCTTACTGCACTGGCTAGGACTTCCACTATGATGCTGAATAGGAATGGTGGGAGCACGGGAGTGGGGGGAAAAGCATTATTTCATAATTAAGTATGGGGTTAACTGTAGGTTTTTTGTAGATTTCCTTTATTGGATTGAGAAGGGTCTCTTTTATTCCTGGTTTGATAAGAGTTTTTATCATGAATGTACATTAAATTCTGATTTTCTGCATCTACTGAAATGATCATATAGTTTCTCTCTGATATTATGAATTACACTAACAAGTTTTGAGCCAACCTTGCATTCCTAGGAAAAAATCCCACCTAATTATGATATACTATCCTTTTCATAAATTTTCTGACTAAATTTGCTAGTATTAAAAAAACAAAAACAAAAACAAAAACAAAGTTAGGCTGGGGCCTGCTCACTCCCTTACTCCCTGAACACATGAGCCTGCAAGAGAGGCAGTGGGGGACCTTGCTTAGATACAATCATCCTTGCACCAGGTTCTGGATTTCAGTGTCAGCCACTAACACAGCTGCTAATAATAAAATGGCATTTTTTATTCATAAAAAAAAAAAAAAATTTTTTTTTTTTTTGCTAGTATTTTTTGTTTCTATGTTCATGAGGAAAATTGGCGTGTAGTTTTCTTATAATGTCTCTGTCTAGGTTTGATATTAGGGTAACAGTGGCCTCATAAAATGAGTTGGGACGTGTTCCCTCTTCTACTTTCTGGAAGAATTTGCGTAGAACTGGGATTACTTCTTCCTTGAATGTTTGGTAGAATTCACCAGTGAAGACACCTAGGTCTAGAGTTTCCTTTGAGGGAAAATTTGAACCATGAACTCAATTTCTTTAATCAGGTTACCTATTTCTTCTCGAGTGAGCTTTTAAGAAATTGTATCATTCAAGAAATGTCCATTTATCAAATTTACTGGCATAAAGTTGTTCATAATAGTTCATTATCAATTTTTAAATGTCTTTAAGATGAGAAGTGATGTCCCTGCTCCCTCATTCTTGATATTTGTAATTTATGTCTTCTCTTTGTCATGATCAGTCTGGCTAAGATTTATTAAATTTATTGATCTTCTCAAAGATCAGCTTTTGGTCTCATTCATTTTCTCTACTGTTTTCCTATTTTCAATGATTTCTGCTTTTTCTTTACTATTTACTTCCTTTTGCTTACTTTAATTTGCTCTCTTTTTCTAATTTCTTAAGGTCTGGCAGCTTAGATAATTGATTTGAGGTCTTTGCTTTTCATTATAATCAGTGAAAACTATAAATTTCTATTTTTTCTTTTTCTATCTAAACACTGCTTTAGCTGGACTGTATATATTTTGTTTTCATTTTTGTTCTGTTCAAGATATTTTCCAATTTATCCTGCGACTTTCTTTTTGACCTATGGGTTACTGAGAAGCATACTGTTTAATTTCCAAATATTTGGGTATTGTCTCGATATCTTTGTTATTGCTTTCTTCTTAAATTCTGTTATGGTGAGAAAACATACTGATTTCTATTCTTTTAAGTTTATTGGCTTTGTTTTACAGCCCAGAATATGGTCATCTTGGTGAATGTACCATGTGTACTTGAAAAGAATTATCTATTTTGAAACTGGTTTTTGGTGGAGTGTTCTAAAAATGCCAATTAAGTCAAGCGGGATGATAGTGTTGTTCAGGTCTTCTGTCTCTTTCCTTATTTTCTAACTACTAGCTCTACTGATAAGGAGCCCTGGTGGTGCAATGGTTACCATATTTTTACACAAATAACTTGAGTATTATTTTCTTTTTGCCAATGCCGCCCCTCCCCTTCAACTATTCTCGTAAGCACAGTATGCTAATTTTTTTTACAACATGTAAAAAATACTAGCACAGCACGCATAAGAAAATAAATTGCTGAGGGGGGTACAGTTGGCAAAAAAACATAACACATGCATTATTTGCGTAAAAATATGGTTCTTTGCATAAAAATACGGTAAGTGCTCAGCTGCTAAGTGAAAGGTTGGTGGTTCAAACCCACTAGCGGCTCTGCAGGAGAAAAGACCTGGCGATCTGCTCCTGTAAAGATTACAGCTTAGGAGAGCTTATGGGGGCGGTTCTACTCTGTCACAGAGGGTTGCTGAGTCAGAACTGACTCGAGGGCATACAACAAGTTCTGATTACTGAGAGGGGGGTATTGTCTCCAATTAAAATTGTGGATTTGTCTATTTCTCCTTTCAGTTCTATTAGTTTTTGCTTCAAGTATTGTGAAGCTCTGTTGTTAGCGGCATACACATTTAGAATTGTTATGTCTACTTGATGAATCCTTTAATAATTATGTGATATCCTTCTTTATTCCAGGAAAGAGAGTATTTTACATGTAACTAAACAATCCACATCAAAGCAGGACTACAGAAAAGACTCAATATTAGTGACTATACTTTCAGTCTTAGAGCATGACTCAAACTGCCTCCATCTCCAATTTCCTCTCTTGAGGAATCCACAGCAAGCGGAACAGGCTTCTGAATACTGGAGTGGCTTACCTTGTTATGTCACAGAGGTTCTGAAAGACCTTGTCTGGGTTCTGGCCATCAGCACCACTCACATGCCCTGCTTCCTTTAGCTGCTGTACCTTCTGCAGAGCCACGCTCACTGCGTAGCGCATAAATTCATTGCTGGACCTCAGAACAGACAGGCTCTCTTCATGGCTTTGGGTACTATCCCTAGAGAGAAAAAGAGATTTCCCTATTGTTATCGAGATCTGGAGTTAGGCTTTTTAAAAGACTTCAGAATTATTAGCAACCAGCAAACTCTGAATAGCAGTTTCTCTAGCCAGCCCATGCCAGAGTCACTGCCATGGCTGCCCTTTTATAACCTTCCTCCTTGGTGTTACCTCATTTTTTCCTTCTCCACTCTATCCTTTGAGTTTGATAAAAACTAAGTGTCAGTGTTAGTCTTTCTCTAATTTTTTTTTGTTGTTCCTTTTTTTTTCTTTATTGTACTTCAGGTGAAGGCTTACAGAACAAATAGTTTCTCATGAAACAGTAATCACATATTGTTTTATGACACTGATTAACAACCCCAAGTTCCTTTGTTTTTTTAATTCAGCCTTTTTCTTTCTTCCCTTTTTATCCGTTACTGTGTTCATGTAACGTAGGTAGATTTTCTTACAATACCTTGTTGGAATTCATTACTATCTTTTCATTCATCAGTCTATTGTTTCTGATTTTCCCTTTAATAATTTGAGGTACCCTTTAAAATGCCTACCTAGGATTGTCCAGCTTCATTTCAAGAAAATTACAAAACTTCTATTTGGATATGAACCCAAACTAGGTAATAAAAGTGAATCTGGGTAGAAATTCTTTAAGTAATGTATTAGAACCTTACCTGAAAAGAGCAGTGAGAAGATCAGACACAAATTTCATAGACAAAAGACTATCATTTGTTTTGTTGGCCATTTTGGCTTTGCCTTTACTAGCTTTTTCTTTAAGGACGTCAGAGAGGTTCTTGTAACACATAAACAAGCTTAGAACTTCCTCAAACTTATTCTTACTGTGTAAAAGGAAAGAGACCACCAAGGGCAAGCATCAGAATATCGTGGTTTACTTTGATATATAGTAATAAGGACATTACAATGCTTCTTTAGATGTCATATTTTCAACACAACATTATAAACAAGTGGATCTTCATTAACATACCTCCCCGGGCCATACCAATCTACGTAGGTTATTTTTTTTCCCCTCCTTTATTTATACCAGTCAATGCAGAGCACTATCAACCAAAATCTCTACATCAAAATTAGGAGTTCTTGAGTTCAGAGTCTGGGGAATTTTTAATAAAAGCCTTCTGGAGGGTCAACATTCACAGGCCTGTTTGCAATATGCTTTTGTGTTCTCTGGTGGAAAGAACACAGTCTAGTCTCAGACCAGATGACTATCTAACAGAGAATGTCATGGTCTGTTTAGTATATTGCTAGAGTTAAAAAAAAAAAAAAAAATCCCAAACATAAAATGGAATAGTTATCAAACCACAAATGGAAGCATAGCAATACCTTACCTGAAATTACTTATGGAAAAATTATATTCTATTAAAATTTCACAAACTCCCATCACAAGAAGAGCACAGAAATTATTTCTGATGCCAATATCAGTAGTCTGAGAAAAATCTGATGATTTATCCTAAAAGACACGAGGCAAAAATTAATAAGCTACTAAAAACTTCTACTATTCAATGTAGCTGAGGACCTAGCAATTACCAATTCAAAGTCTTCTAGCTCACTCTTAATCACTCTATTAGTGATAGATTCCAGCATATCATCTAGTTCTTGGTAGAATCCTTCTTCTTCCTCTTCCTCTTCTTCCTGCTGTAGGGGCATCACTCTACTCTTATACCAGGCCAAACAGTGCTGAATACAACATAGCAGATGAGCCTGTAGAAGAAAACAATGAAATGTTCTCAGGTGTTAAGGGATAACCTATGAAGCTGTACATAACCAGCAAACTCTCGTCTATAAAGCTAAAGTAAGCTATTCATTAGCATCACAAACTAACTCAATCTGAATGGAATAAAACTGGGAAAAATTAACTGAACTAACAGAGGCATTGTTTTCTGAACCTTTCCCAAAGGAAGGAGGCTTACAAGTAGCGTGTTGACACCTCAGACTGCAACATCAGATGTGTTCTCTCTGGTCTGGTACAAACAACCCTGGAGCCAGATTGTGGAGGTAAATCCTCTCTAGTTCCTGTGAGTCTCAGAGGCTACTCTAAAGATAGGGGTTTATGTCAAGGGGATTCTGGGAGAGCAGCACAATGTCTTAGATCTAGGCCAAGGACATGTCATGGCACAGAAGGCACACATGAAGGCAGGATATGACCACTGAAAGGCTTCCCACTTCCCTTGTCATGAGTTCTAAGTCATTTGAGGTGGGCAGTTTCAGTTTTTATCTTCTCCTCCCTGTTGTCTCTTTCTGAGGTTAGATGAGAAAAGAAAACACCTGTGCTATCTCCTCTGAAGGTTCAGCAGAGTGCCGATACTAGCTCAGCCTGAATCATATACTCCCTCCAGACTGATGAAGCAGGTTCCCTGGGTTCACCTGCTCCTAGGTGACATCACTCCCTCCTTCTAAAGCATACTTATTTAGTATATATAAATGAAATGATGTTCTTTTGGGGAAGTGGTGGACGCTTTGATTTCTTGAAGTGCTGATGTGGAGATATCTTACCCATAGACCCAAGGTGGTGATAGGCCTGGAAAGATAAGCAGGGAAGATTTAAGAGCAAAAATTCACAGGGAATACCAGAAAGACAGCTTCATAGGGAAAAGGTATCTCTTCCTGAAGATCAACCCTATCCTTAACAGTAAAAATAATGGTTATAGCAGGTCAAAGAGTCTCACCAGTGGTTCTTGTAGAAAGGTTTGATCTCCCTGGGTCACAATACAAGCTTCTAGTTTCAGAGGAGGCAGCAGATCAGGTTTTGGTTCATAGAACTGTTTTAACTGTGGATCATAAAGACAAAAGACACCATGGCTCATGAATGCTTTTCATGGATCTTACATGTTTGAGAATTACCTTAGGCCATGGAAGCTCACAGTATGTTAAAAAGAGGAAAAGATCTTAAAAATGTTCTGGTTCCGTTCATTAATTTTATAGAGGAGAAAACTGAGGCCAAGCGAAGTTAATTAGTTGCCTAGGTTACTCAGTAAATTAGTGGAAGGCCACTATAGAACCCAGCTTTCCTACTTTCAATCCATTGCTCTTGACATGAAGCTTTTCATGTTAGTACCCAGCATTACAGTACACTGGTTAACCTTGGGCTCTTGAGTCAAAAAGACCTGAGTTCAGATCCCAGCTCTGCCACTTATTAACTGTGCAACCTTGGGCAAATTAAATTACTTAACTTCTCAAAGCCTTAAAATATAAATCTGAAAAATGGAGATAACAGTGATTATTTCACAGGGTTTCTGTGAGGATGAAATGGGATCATTCACATAAGTGCTTCATTACACTACAATACAATGCTTGGCCCTCAGTAAGTGCTCAGCGTTAGCTATTGCTGTTATTATTACTAGTGATAATAGCATCTTCAAATATAAAAAAGATTCAAATACCATATAATGGGATATTATTCAGCCATAAAAAAAGAATGAAGTTCTGATATATGCTACAACATGGATGAACCTTAAAAGCATATGGTACGAGACAGAAGTCGGTCAGAAAAAAACCACATATTGTATGATTCCATTTATATGAAATGTTATAAATAGTCAAATAAATAGAGACAGAAAGTAGAACAGTGGTTGCTTAGGGCTGGGTGGGGGTCCAGGGCAGAGGAGGGATTAGGGCGTGATAGCTAAATGGTATGGGTTTCTTTGAAGTGATAAAATGTTCTAAAATTCATTGTGGTGATAACTGCATAATTCTGTGAATATACTAAAAACCAGTGAGTTGTACACTTTAAGTGGATGAATTGCAACATGTGAATTATATCTCAATAAAGCTGTTACCAAAAAAAAATTCAAATAAATGCTTAATGAATAAATGTTGAGTATAAAAGGTCTTATTTACACCAGATGTTCTACATCTGAATTCTTCTAATTCTGATGGTCCTTTGAAATATTTCACAATTTAAAAACATTATTTTAAAACTGAAAAATACAGAAAATAACATAACAGATAACATGGGTATCTGTTACCTAGATTTAACAAATGTCAATAATTTGCTATATTTGCTTCAGATCTCTCTCTTTCTCTTTTTTCTTTCGGAAATAAAACGTAACAGATATAGCTTCTGATAGCCCTTCTACAAATCGTTCTTCAAAGTATCCTTTTGACTTAGGATGTAGACTGTTAACTCAGAGGTGACTGTTAGATGATGGCAATATGGCAGACAGATAAGTGGTGATCAAAAATAAAACCACCGCAGGCATGTTCACAATGTACCACCGTACAAGTTGGGAATTATTATTTTATATTTTGAAAAGTCTGCAGAAGGTCAGTTGCCTGTCAATGCCTCATTATCTGTTTTCCCTTTATCCATAAAAATCTATTTTACCTGTGAGAGCAGGGTCTGCATTATTGAATTAACCAGCTGAGAGTTCCTTCGAAGGACATCATAGAACCCCTAAGAGGAATCAAATAGAAAACAAATAAGCTCTTTAATAGAGATATTAGTGATTTGGACAATCATAACTTTAAAATAACACTATATTTCTTTACCCTATTTTCAGTTCTCTGAAAAAAACAGGGACCGTAAGTGCTAGTAGGAGAAACGATTTAGAAAGTTTAGGTTATCTGCTTAAGCTAAAAAGAGATCTCAGAGATCTCTGATCACTGAGAACAAGATTAACCATCTAACCATAATCCTCACAATTTTTAAGCAACTGGTCACTTTTGGCTTTGGAGTATTTTGCCCCTTCACAGTTAAGAATGTCCTAGGCCCCTATTCTTTTCTCTCATCCTATGTCAGCAGCCTTTTCTTTTAGGATATTTCCACATAGTTTCCGGTGATTCAAAAAGTGCATCTTTTCCTATGCAGCCTAGTATGAATGGCCATATTTCCATCCATCTGAAATCTCCCAGTCTTAGTTAAAGACTAGGTCAAAATCCTGGGGAGAACTTTCTTTTTGAAATCCAGAAAAGATATTGTACAGCTCATCTGTGAGAAAAAGCAAATGAGTACATTCAAATATTTCAAGTTAAAATAAAACATGTAAGCTGTTTCTTCAACTCTTCTTTATAATTCCCTACCTTAAATAACTCTGGCTAACCATTACTATTTACTGGTCCTAACTGCATCAAATAAAGAGTGTTTCTACTGCACTTTATAATCAGAAAAAACAATTATTAAAAGAAAAAGGATTATACCCCTTCCACTCTGCTGACTTACCTCATAAAGCATGATTCGGACATCAGCCTGCTGGCCTAAGCACCTCCTCAAACTATCGATAATCTCAAGGCAAAACGTTTCATTGGCAACAGAATTGTAACGGCTATGAACATCCACGTGGACCTGAAACAAAGAAAGGCTGGTTCATGTCTACTTTACCAAAGTAGTTTCCATTAAGGAGGTAACATGAGCCTATGTTCTTGATCAAAGAAATCTAGATTTAGCTTTTCCCATATGCCAACCCCAGGATTGAGGCAGACATTATAATCATCACCATGCTGTGATAAGTGTCACTCTTACTCTGCTTTGGAATTAAAGAATCTGCAAGCACTTTAACAAAATTAATTCTTCCTAAATGTCAGCTGCCTAGGAAGGCACATATAGTATTTCAT